TTTCCTCTCTCTCTATCTACTGCGATCTCCCGCTCTTATGTTTCCTAACAGCGCGTGGCAGAACACTGTAAAAATAAACACCGCAAAAAACAATTTTCGCCAAAAAAACGTCTTTTGAGTATTCTGTAAAAAGCTTTAAAGAGCACTTAAATTCGATAATAGGTCGACTTTTTGCTTAGTTTCTTTGTTTAGAAGATAGCTAGAGCTTTGTAAAACCATGAAATGAATCGTTAAAGCTTAAGGAAAAACTTTACCGAAGGAATTTTTGATACTCAGTTTAGAAGTGCCATTTTTCGAAGTTTGAAGATATTTTTGGCTAAATTGTAATTTTAGAACGGGTGTTAAAAATAGTAAAAAGCCTTAAATCTAAGCGGTCAAATTTTTTAAACATTTATAATGTCTTAAACTATTTTTGGGCGAAAACACGGATTCGATTGGTTAAACGGTTTAACGTCCAGAATTTTTGAAAGGAAAATTGACCTTTTTTCCAATTGGAAGCGATTGGAGCCACTTGTGGAGCCCCAATAAATCTTAGCAAATCAGTTTAAAGTTATTAGAATGTAATAAAAATGCATATTAATATTGTTAACCAGTGGTTTTGGCTGTGCGTTGATTCCCAGTTTTCTTACTGATAGCTTTATATATAGAGATATATGTACATATGTAAGCCAAAAATTACTCATCGTTTACATCGGAATTCAAAGTTCGGTAAGTGGTTGACCAATTTAAATAAATTAAACATTTTCAGATATATTTGTCCACAAGAAATTGTTGTTGTGCGTCGGCCATATTTTGGCCGCCATTATTGGCGATAATGGTATAAGTCCACCAACTTCGACCGAAACTCCATTTAACTTCAGTTAACTTCACTTTTGTCCAACACTAGGGGCATTAAAAATACTTTTGTCCTTTGATTTTGAAAAGTCAACAGCTTCTTGACCAAATCGGAACTGATAAAACTTCCATGTGAGAACTGTATAATAAAATTACTTTAAATAATCTTTTTACATTCGTTGTGGCTTGGTGCCCGAGAACAACTATAACTGCATTTTGATTGATTGATTTGCCTCCAAGACCGAGAAGTTGTTGACTTTACAGCGTGTTTATGCGCTTGAGTCTTGAACCCAAATGAACCCAACACAAGCCAACCGCAAACACTACCGCCAAATCCTACCGCTACACCCACCACCTCCTCCGTTCGCTGAACATTATGGAGTGTTTGGGAATCGGGGCTCGTTGCTTAACCTTAACGGTAATAGTGGCTCATAGTTGTCCAACAACCGGAGCGGTCTATAACTTTGGGTCACCTTCAAGTGGCAGTTGGGGATCTCTAATAATAAAAATCAAAATACCGTCACGTAAGCCGATAACAAGGCACAAGACCCGGCGTCAGTTGGGGAATCTGAGTTACTGCCAAAACGCAATTAAGACCGACATTTTTATGGTGTTCAAACTTTAAAATTCATATAATTAAATTGCAGTTATAACTTTAACAGCAGCAACAAAGCCGTACCAGCAACACCAACAGCAGCAACGTCAACAACGGGGATTGCGCACCACCGACATGCTACTCCAACGTTAGCGAAACTATCATAGAGCTTTGATCAAATCTCCACTGAGAGTGAATAAGTGAAAAGAGAAAATCAATAGATAACGCCAAGAAGACCAATAACAAGAAAAGACTATAACAAAATGTTTTGTTTTTATAAAACAACTATTTAAGTAAAAACAACTTTACTTCTAATTATTTTATTCTCCTATTTTTTATCAAAAAACACTCTGCTTTGTCAATAGAAGCTTCAGAAGAGTACATTTTTGAAGCCTAGTGTTCAGATCGGTGAAATACGTTCGATCGACGAAAAATGGCATTAAATTATAATAATACTAATAAATTACAATTATCAAAAAATGAAATGATTTTTATTATTAAACTAAAATAAAAAAAGATAGAAAAGAATGTACTCAGAATAACAGTTAAATATCAAAAAACATATTAGTTAAAAGACAGTTTTCGCAGGAGCTGAGAAGGTAAATCTGGTGTCTATTAATACTGTACTATCGATTTGCTGTACCTTTAGTATTCTTAATGTTTTTTTGATAACCCATATTATTAAGAATACTTAAATTCTACCAAAGGTATCTTACAAAAAGCATTTCCGTTTACCGTACGATGTTGTTTTGCAAATACTAAATACTATTTGTAAATGGGCCGGGCAGTTTGGAATGGATAAATTATAAACGATACGCTTTTGGGTGTAAACAAATAATTTTAAAACAAGAAAGGAAAGCTAACTTTGGGCGGAGCCGAAGTTGAAATACCCTTGCAGAATATTCTGTAAATTATATTCTCCAAAATTATTCATATGATGCATTCTTGACACTCATAAAAATCCCAACTTCCTAACTTTACCAAAGTTATGGCATTTCCAATCGATCAGTTATATTGCAGCTATAGGATATAGTCGGCCGATCCTTATGCAATTTGGTAGCTCGGATTAATTGGCCTAAAATAAAACCGATAGAAAATCCCAACTTCCTAACTTTACAAACACCAAAGTTATGGCATTTCCGATCGTTCAGTTATATGGCAGCAATAGGATATAGTCGGCCGATCCTTAAGAAATTTGGTAGGTCGGATTGATTGGCCAAATATAAAACCCATAAAAAATCCCAACTTCCTACCTTTACAAACACCAAAGTTATGGCATTTCCGATCAATCAGTTATATGGCAGCTATAGGATATAGTCCGAGCCCGGCCGTTCCGACTTAAATACTGCGTGCAAAGGAACGAAGGGTGTGTGCAAAATTTCAATTCGATATCTTTAAAACTGAGAGACTAGTTCGCGTAGAAACAGACAGACGCACAGACGGACGGGCGGACAGACGGACATGCTTATATCAACTCAGGAGGTGATCCTGATCAAGAATATATATACTTTATAGTGTCTCCTTCACTGCGTTGCACACTTTTGACCAAAATTATAATTTCCTCTGCAAGGGTATACAAATATGTCGCAGCTAATATAATGTGGGCCTTTTGTTTTGGGTTTTACTATCAGGTAATAGTGTTTGAAAGATATAAGCGACATTTGAGTTGAAAGTATAAAGTTGCTTGTTAGCAGAAAGGAAAATCTGGTGTTGGGTGAGGTCAGTTCCATATGCGCTGAAAGGAAGAACGATTACTGATTCAGTGGATAAAAATCAGTTCGAAAGGAGCTGTGAAAATGACTAGCATAATTATAATACGCATGGTGCGTAAATAGCAATGAACAGTCACATCGGTAACAATTATAAAATAATTAAGCCAATTAAGATTAAATTTTCCAAATGTTCTTATGGCAGCTATCCAGTTGCAACAAAAATTGAGAAGCACAACAGAAAAGTAACGAAACCCCAAAGTTAACAGCTGTTTCTGTCTCTCCCTTCGACTTCTCGCTCACTTACCTTTTGTTGCATTTCTGCAGCAGGTGTCTCTCATTTGCTCTGAGCGAGCTTTTCTAACAGTTATTTAGTTTTCGTTTTTTTACGATAGCGGGTTTTATGCCGGTTGTTGTTGGTTCTGTTGCTTGAGAGTTGGTATTTTCATTGATGAAAATTCCTCGGCACGAGTGTGGGAGAGCGTCCAGAAGAGAGTGAGATATATGGAGAGCGAAAACTGAGAGACAAAAACTCAACTACAGTCGCTGTCGGAAAAGTTGGTAAGCCAAAAATTAAAAAAATAAATTTTCCTAATTTACCTTTTCAAAAATAAAAAATGAAACTTTTTACAAAAATATACTATTTTTTAAAACCATTATGTATATAAACATACCTTCCCCATAATATTTATATAATATTATAACCGTATTTTTTACAATTCTGTTCCATTTCGAAAAATTTTTAATACAGTGGATTGTATTACATTTACGCACAAATTTTCTTTAATTGGTTATAGATTGGATTTTTAATAAATGACACTTACAAATTTGTCATTATCAAAAAAATACCTGAATTACGAATGCCGAGAAAATAGTCGGAGAAATATCAGCGACATTTTGGAAAAATGACTTTATAAATAAAGTTAATTTTTATGTGCCGATTGATACAGTTATGTAGATCAGCTGTTGGCATGTTCTCTTTTTTTTCTAAAAGATCAAGGTTTAAACAGTATGGGGAATAATTTACACCTAATTGCAAATAAAATGTCAACAGAAACAAGAAAGGAAAGCTAACTTCGGGCGGAGCCGAAGTTGATATACCCTTGCAGAATACTCTGTAAATTATATTCTCCAAAATTATTCATATGATGCATTCTTAATACTCATAAAAAATCCCAACTTCGTAACTTTAAAAACACCAGTTATATGGCAACTATAGGATCCTTCGGCCGATCCTTATGAAATTTGATAGGTCGGATTGATTGCCCAAAAATAAAACCCATAAAAAATCCATAAAACTTCCTAACTTAACAAACGCCAAAATTATGGCATTTCCGATCAATCAGTTATATGGCAGCTATAGGATATAGTCGGCCGATCCCGGCCGTTCCGACATATATACTGCGTGCAAAGGAAAGATATTCGATAGCTTTAAAACTGAGAGACTAGTTTGCGTAGAAACAGACAGACGGACAGACGGACATGGCTATATCAACTCAGGTGGTGATCCTGATCAAGAAGGGTATAAAAACGTAAACCAAAATATTAAGCATTTGTTGATCTTTTCCTGTTTCTCGACCTCTACCCTACCTCTCTACCTTCGTCTCTTCTCTTTCACTCTTGGTAATGTCGCGAATAACTTTTTTTAAACAGCTGAGCGGTCTTACTCTCTTGCACTCTCTTTACGTTACAGCAGGTGCAGCGACAACAAGTGTTGTTGTGCTTTTCCACTCTCTTAGCGCTTTCGAGCTCTCGTACAGTTTGTATATGTTATCTTATGTTACTTAACAGACCAATAACAGATGCCTTAGAGCTGCGAGTAAAGCCAGTCAAGTCTATATAGTCCCCGACGTTGACTCTATAGTTGAAAAAAACTTTCGTGCGAGACAGACGTGTGTGACGGAGCTGCGCTTTTTTATTCGAACTAAACCCGAATCCAATTGTTGACTGCAGCTTTGGCGCGACTTTTCGCGAAGTGAACGATCTGAAAGCTAAGCGAAATTAGATGTGAAACAAGTGTGCATGGCACGTTGAAAAGAAATAGAGAAATAAGGTGCATATATGTGCAGCAAGTGTAACGTTATCCAATACCCAAGCTAAAGAAAATTAAAAGCAAAAAATCAAACACAAATAATACCCCTTAGTGGCCAGCAGCCATGTCTACGAAACTGGAGCAGCAGCACTCGAAGCCCATTCTGAGTCCAACTCGATCCCTGGACGAAGGTTTCGAAAGTGATCCGGATCGGGTTTCCACTGATTCGGAGCATCAGACAAGTGGAACCAATAGCAGCAGCACTTGCAACAACAATACAGGCAGCAGCAACAACAACAATGCCAGCAAGCTTGCGCAGCTCAGCTCGGCGGCCACTGGGGGCGCCACTAAGACAACGGCCGGAGCTGGAGGAACTGTATCCAATACTTCTATGGCAAATTCCGGAAATGTCAGGGGCTCACTGACTTTGGCCGCCCCCCAACTGCAAAGACGGGAGTTCTTCAAGGATCAGGCGAAACTGCGGCATCAGGCATCGCCCCCGCAACAGCCACGCCTCCAGTACCAAAAACAACGACAACCCCTGGTGCCCAGTGCGGCCTCCACTGTTCACAATCATCGGTTAACTTCGTCGGTTCAGGGTTCCTCGGGATCGGGAAGCAGTCTGGGAACCGGAACTGGAACTGCCAACTATCGACGTGGACGCCGGATTCACATGAATCCCCCTCGAAACGGGATACGCTCCCACTCCGTGGACGCCATATCGCGAAGCAATCGCAATGGCTACGATCCCAGTAGCCTGATCCTGAAACACGACGGAAATGGTAATATAAGCAGCAGCAACGCTGGAGGAGGCACCACCCGCATGCTAAACTACAAGACCACGGGCGGAGGCAGTCCAGCCGGAACCTCAGCAGCCGGACAGGCTTTACTCGTCCAACCGATTTCCAGTGCCACCCTATCTCCGCTGGTGGCCGCTGGCGTCGTCGATGTGGTCGAGGCAGGTGGCTCCTCACCGGTGATTGCCTCGGCCACCCACAGCCTGTACACTTTCTATCCGGCGGAGGGTAATCTGCAGGTGTGGCAGACGGAGTGCGGCGACCTCACCTATAAGTCGTCCCGGAATATGCATCAACTACACAAAGCGCCCGTGTGCTGGACGCAGTCCATTCCGAGGCAGGCGAGAAGGTAAGTGATACGATTTTGATTATTTTGTGCAACCTAGGAGAGAAAGTGCTGATAGAAAGCTTATATATTTATATCAATATATAATTTTAAGCCTTCCTATAACTTTTTAAAGCTAATTTAAAACTATTTCAATGGTTTTTCCGACTCAAGGTCAAGGTTGGGCTTAAAAAATTTTAAATAAAAGTTTATAAATTTTATTTTCTATTTATTTCGGCTGCGCTAGGGGCAACCATTTTCAGGACAAATAAATTTGCGCCGTGGGACGTTGATTAATATATTAATACTGACTTAAAACTTTTGCAGTCTTTTGATACTGTTATTTGTGTCCTAAAATTTAAATGTATTTATCTATATATCTTGTAAATTTTCATTTCAGCGTAGTTGGTAGTTCAAATTTGTTTAACCAGTTTTACCATAATTTAATTTTCCAACAATGCTCTTCGATACTGTTAATGGGAAATATAAATTTTTGAAGTCTTGTTTTAAAATGTACTTGGCTTATTTTAAACTATTATTTTAAATCGTGGAAAGTTAGAAAATAGCATTTGTTATAATAAACCAACTAAAAACTTAGCTTAAACATTTTATGTTGTCTAATTTAAAAATGATCGTTTAAGTATTATTTTTAGTTAGGGAAGCTACGCTTAAGCCTAGAGCTCAATAAATCGCTCAAAATGTAAGCTAATTAGTTAATGGTTGAGTTTTATTTTTGGCCAAAAACGAAGTCAATAGACATTTCATCTTTAGCGCTTGGCCAGAGTGAAAGTCTTTTTAACAGCATCGGCAGCAGCAACAACAAGCAGGCCGAGAAGAGCGAGAGAGACCACCAGAGAGAATAAGTTGGGGAGATTAAAAAAGAGGGCCGGAGCAGGCACATGTGTCATTTAGTTTTGCCGCGGGGCAGGTTGCACGTTGCGCTGTGGCAATTAAAATGCCTTTGAAAACTGCTTCACATTGATTACCCCCTGCTCCGTCCCTTAGTAGATTGTTAAATTAGCCTTTACATAACTTTACATTGCCCGGGGTCCGCCCGAAATGTGTGTGACCCCAAACTAAACGCAAATTGCACACCGAAATTCAGGCACATAAAGTTTGCCAATTTCGCGCTCAACATTTCGAAAGACATTTAAAGTTTTGCCTGCATTTGTGTAGGGTTGGGTCTATTTTGTTCACTTGGGGACTGTTACAATTTTTTTCTGTCCTTGCAATATTTAATAGCTCTTAAAATCGTTTAACTTTTATGACTATCCACAAATGAAGAAACTACAGGGTGAAGGGGCGTGTCACTGGTAATAAATGAGGAAATATAGTAACATTTTACCATCGGCTCGAAAAACAAATATCTTATTAAAAAGAGATCGAATTCATTATCTTTGTGTATAGCCTGGTGTGTGTGTGTGTGTATAACATGAGGTGATTCTTTTTTGTTATATTATGGGTAAATAAGATGTGAATTGATTTTTACTTTGATATTCATACCCTTGCAGAAGAGGGTCTTATAATTTCAGTCAAAAGTTTGCAAACCAGTGATAAAGTATATATATTCTTGGAGAGTCCGTCCGTTCGTTTCTACGCAAACTAGTCCCTCAGTTTTAAAGGTATTGTCTTTCTATTGCAGGTAGTATATAAGTCGGAACGAGCCGGATCGGGCGACTATATCATATAGCTTTCATTGGAACAATCGGAAAAAAAATTAAAAATGTATAACTTTTAAAATAGTTCTTTGTTCTTTGGGATTTGGTAGTATTTAAATACTATGGAATTACGGATTTAATTAAATTAAGTCGGACATCTTTATCATATAGCTCCTATAGAAAAGTCATAAAATTTAAAAAAAAACAAGAAATTAAAGCTAACTTCGGGCGGAGCCGAAGTTGAAATACCCTTGCAGAATATTCTGCAAATTATATTCTCCAAAATTATTCATATGATGCATTCTAAATACTCATAAAAAATCCCAACTTCCTAACTTTAAAAATACCAAAGTTATGGCACTTCCAATCGTTCAGTTATATGGCAGCTATAGAATATAGTCGGCCGATCCATATGAAATTTGATATGTGGTATTGATTGGCCAAATAGAAAACCCGTAGAAAGTCCCAACTTCCTAACTTAACAAACAGCAGAGTTATGGCATTTCCGATCAATCAGTTATATGGCAGCTATAGGATATAGTCGGCCGATCCCGGCCGTTCCGACTTATATACTGCGTGCAAAGGAAAGAAGGGTGTGTGCAAAGTTTCAATTCGATATCTTTAAAACTGAGAGACTAGTTCGCGTAGAAACAGACAGACGGACAGACAGACGGACAGACGGACATGGCTATATCAACTCAGGAGGTGATCCTGATCAAGAATATATATACTTTATAGGGTCGGAGATGTCTCCTTCACTGCGTTGCACACTTTTGACCAAAATTATAATACCCTCTGCAAGGGTATAATGAAACGATTTTACGCTTTTACTTTTGTCAAAAATCGGCTTGCCGAAGTTAGCTTCCTTTCTTTTTATACCCTTGCAGAGGTTAATATATTTTTGGTCAAAAGTGTGCATCGCAGTGAAGGAGACATCTCTGACCCTATAAAGTATATATATTCTTGATCAGGATCACCTCCTGAGTTGATATAGCCATGTCCGTCTGTCCGTCTGTCTACGCAAACTAGTCTCTCAGTTTTAAAGATATCGAATTGAAACTTTGCACACTTCTTTCCTTTGCACGCAGTATATATGTCGGAACGGCCGGGATCGGCCGACCATATAACTGATTGATCGGAAATGCCATAACTTTGGTGTTTGTAAAGTTAGGAAGCTGGGATTTCCTATGGGTTTTATATTTGGCCAATCAATCCGACCTACCAAATTTCATAAGGATCGGCCGACTATATCCTATAGCTGCCATATAACTGATTGATCGGAAATGGCATAACTTTGGTGTTTTTAAAGTTAGGAAGTTGGGATTTTTTATGAGTATTAAGAATGCATGAATAATTTTGGAGAATATAATTTACAGAGTATTCTGCAAGGGTATATCAACTTCGGCTCCGCCCGAAGTTAGCTTTCCTTTCTTGTTTATTAATAACATACTGGTGAGGAGTATTTTTAAGTACACTTGAGATACAAACTTAACTGATTTTGTACCCCTTCAAAGGTCATGATATCAAAAAATAACTTGGTTGAAGTACCTGTATTATAATTATTATGGAAAGTGGGAAATATTTCGAATTTAACTTTCAAATTTCGTGTAATGCTTAAATGACTTTTGATGTAGAAATATATGTTTCATTGCATAAGCACACGCCAATATGTTCATTAAGAGTCGTTTACTTTGTCTAAACAACGCCCACTTCAATGGCGTAACTATCTGTCGTAGTGGGTGGTAAGGCGCAACAGTCCAGCAAAAAAATTGCAAACATTTCAATCAGCAGGAGCAGACACGCAAAGTGAATCAAAAGCGAAAGAAAAGGAAAAGTGACTGCGGCAAACATTTTGATAAGAGTCCCAGAGGGTATTCAACGGAATGGTGTACAATCAATCGAAAGACTTAGGCAACAAACTTGATTAGTTCAACGCACTGGGAGTTGTCGTTAATGGATGGTACTTTTGGGTTTGCAATTGTAAAGCTTTGTGAAATTTCTCTATTTTAACTGTTGTCGTTTGCAGCTTAAGGTTCGATTGATATCGCATTCGAAAACACAACTCATAGATCTGTTGCAAATCAAATTGCATGATGCGCAAATATTTTAGCTTCGATAGCGACATTAGCAACACAAACAACAATAAAGGTAAAAGTTTTTTATTTCGCTTTGGCAAATTTATTTACATAGTTTTGGGTAAATTTGGCTCATTTCTTGGTATTTTTACAATGTGTCATACCTTTGCACACTTTTGCTTTTTATGAGACATGAGTTGCCGTTTGTTTTTGTTTTCTTGCTGTGTGGGGATGGACGACGTGTAGGTGTTTGGGATGCCAGCATTTGAAAGTGTTTTAATGTATATGTTGTTTTTTTTAACTTTGATGGAGTGTTGCTGAAGAGATGATTTGGTTGGCTTTGGCGTGCGAAAGTTTATTTGTCAGATGAACATGAAGTAGCGTTGTTTGATGTCTGTTTGATAGTGCCAAACTTCCGCTTTATCTATATTATGGGAATAATTCGAAATTTACCAGATTTTTCATGAATGAGGTATAAAATTTTATTTTAAATACAGAAATTTTAATTGGTTAAAGGATAATCTAGCTTTGTTAAATATTTTGTTACATAATGTACAATTTAAAATGATTAGTCCTTTTATTATATAATTGCAATTCTAAAAAAGGTTTAAATTAATCTGCCATTTATTTTAAATGACATTAAATAACCGATATTTTATTTTTTAAGTTATTTTTTATTAAATTTTTAAATCACCTATTTATTAATTTTTCAGTTTAGTACATAAATGTTGCTTTCCAACCATGTTCCTTGTACTTGCCTATTAACATCATTGCCATACTTTAATGACGCCATTATAAAGCAAATAAATTTGTCAGCTAACCACCGATGTTTTCGCACTTGCGTCGAGATTCGATAATCAATTGCAGCTCAATGCTTCTCAACAGCCAATCAGGAGGGCTGCTGTCTATTTGCTATGACGGTGTGGGGGCTAAAATTTCGTTCTGATTGCTGTTTGACAATCACTCTGCTAGATAAACGTATTGCTAGGCATTGACTTTAATTGCTCATTATTGAGCTCATCGCCAGCGCCGAAATCATCGGCAAATATGGTCCCCAATTAAAATAAATAAAAACTCAAATATAACCAAATTCTATCTTTTGTATTCGCCTTGGCAAAATAAATACACACATAAATGTTGTCTGTCAATATTTGTGGCGCAGATTTGAGATCTCTGTGAGCTGAGGGCATTAAAATAGATTAAGTATTGTAGGAAGCCGCTAGAGAGGCAGACAAATAAAACTAGCAAATTGTTTTTGTTTTCACATAATTCTCAAGCGGGGATTTTTAAG